AGAGAGAGAGAGAGAGAGAGAGAGAGAGAGAGAGAGAGAGAGAGAGAGAGAGAGAGAGAGAGTCAAACTGTTTGCATGCTCCTGACCGGGGTTTTGGTCAATGGGTGGGGCAGTCCTAATCACCAACTGCAACATCAAAGGTGGGTGGGGAGGCCGGCGAGAGAGAGAGAGAGAGAGAGAGAGAGAGAGAGAGAGAGAGAGAGAGAAAGAGAGAGAGAGAGAGAGAAACTGTTTGCATGATCCTGACCGGGGTTCTGGTGAGATGCGTTCTAGCTAATTGCTGTCAGTAATGGTAAATTTTTTTTTGTTTTTTTTTTGGCGAGTAATGGTAAATTCTTGCCGAGGGCCTTTTGGACAGATCGACGGTGACGCGCTCGAGCTCTTTGTTGGGCTCTCGCCGTACGACTCACCAAATTTGAAAAAGACAAAATTGTGGGGAGAGATTATTCTCAATCTAAAAAAGAAAATGAATCCAAAAATTTTGAAGATCGTTCGTCAGAGAAATTGGCAAACAATAACGCAAAAAGAAAAAAACGCCTCAATTAGATCAATTTAGTAATTTACATATTTCACGCAATTCCTTTGGTTATGTGTATTTTATTTGAGTTTTTATATTTGAGTTTTTATGTGTTGTTATGTAATGATGGATTATGTATTTTATTTGAGTTTTTATATTTGAGTTTTTTATGTGTTGTTATGTAATGATGGATTATCTTTCCACTTTCTAGCGGAAGATACGTTCTCATTTTTGCAAATTGCGTCCGTAGTTGCGGCGATGAAAGTGAAAAGTACCCTTCTTTGAAGGGGGGAAAAAAAAACAGTACTTCGCCAATATCCATCACTTATTTTCCCTTTATAAGTCAAACTACCCTTTTTTTTTTTTTTTTTTTTTTTTTGCTTGAGTGTGTCAGTATCCATCATTTAACCATCGATTTTGTACTGGTACTTACAGCAAGCGTGGGCAAGTTCCCACTTGCACGGATTAAGAGATTCTGGCCGTTGATATTTGCTATCTACGGTCAATATTGGCTTAATTCGTGTAAGTGGGACCTGGCCCCGTGTAGGTGTAGCCCAGGAGCATCTCTCGTAGCAGGGAACCCTCTGGTTGAAGGAAGGTGCCGACTGTGCACAACCAAGAAGCCCACGAGGCCAAAAAAA